CTCTTGAGGTGCTCTTGGGGGAAAATAGACCTTGATATATGTGAGATGTAGTTACTGGGATGTATAGTTCACCTACAATCAAAGAGCATTCTGAACTCCACCAATGATGGAATTGAACCAAATATGGCACACAGAACTCCCACGACGAACAGAAAATATATATCAGTATTTGGTTGGGGGGGGGGGGCAAAATACTGTTTGCTTACCATTGAAAATTACCTAGGGCCGCCTCTGGTTCTAGCTTACCTATGGGTTCCTGCAGTCACCAGGCTAACATGTTATGGGTACTAGACCTAACTACTGCAACACTCTCTACATGGGGCTGCCTTTGAAAACTTCTAGGAAGCTCCAATTAGTCCAGCAGTCAGCGGCCAGGTTGTTAACTGGAGCTGTGTACAGGGAACGTACCACCAGAGGCGGCCCTAGGTAATTTTCAACGGTAAGCAAACAGTATTTTGGCGCCCCCCCCCCCAACCAATCATTGATATGTATTTTCTGTTCGTCGTGGGAGTTCTGTGTGCCATATTTGGTTCAATTCCATCATTGGTGGAGTTCAGAATGCTCTTTGATTGTAGGTGAACTATACATCCCAGTAACTACACTTGCCGCACTTGCTCCCTTGCCTGGCCCGCTTTGGGTCCAGAGGCGTGCCTGAAGACCCCGGTGTGTGCACCAAAAGTCACCTCTTCTCCTGACTTTCTCCTCAGCCATTGGGACCAAGAGAGAGAGAGAGAGAGAGAGAGAGAGAGACAGAGGTGGAGATGCCCACCTTTCCTGAAGGTAGGCGCAAAAACAAAGGAGGGAGCAGAGGTGGGAGATACCTCCAGCTGGAGGGGCTCTCTCTCTCTCTCTCTCTCTCTTGGTCCCAATGGCTGAAGAGAAAGCCGAGGCTCCCCCCAGACTGCTAGGGCTGTTGTGAGCTGAGGGGGCACTCCTCAAGTGGCAGTCGAGGGGCATTTACAGAGGCGCCTCAGTGCCCCTGGCAAAAAAAGTATTCTGCAACCGCTTACTTCGCGTAATGGATGAGCCGCCCCTGCGTACCACTCCTCTGTTGCGCCAGCTCTACTGGCTGCCGATTAGCTTCCAGGCACAATTCAAAGTGCTGGTTTTAACCTTTAAAGTCCTGAATGGTTCTGGCCCGGATTACCTGTCCGAACGTATCTCCTGCTATGAACCATCACGAAGCTTAAGATCATCAGGAGAGGCCCTGCTCTCAATCCCACCACTCTCACAAATGCGGTTGGTGGGGACGAGAGACAGGGCCTTCTCGGCAGTGGCCCCCAATCTGTGGAACTCTCTCCCTAAGGATATCAGGTTGGCCACCTCCCTCCTGTCCTTTAGCAGACAACTGAAAACCTGGCTCTGGGGCCAGGTGTTCGATTAGAGGCCAGCGGCAATAGGAAAAGGAAATTTGGATTTTGTGACATAGATTCTCCCGGCTCGGCTTGGTTTTTACGGGCACGTTAATCTATTAATTTATTGTTAAATTTTACTGATGATGTACAATGTTTTAAAATGATTTTATTGGGAATTGTAATTTTTATGGTATTTATGATGTTAGCATCCTCTGATGCTCATGTGAGGCCGCGCTGAGTCCCCCTTGTGGGGAGAAGGGTGGTATATAAATATATGAAATAAATAAATAAATAAATACCATGTCTCAAATGGAGCCCCTGGTGGCGCAGTGGATTAAAGCACTGAGCTGCTGAGCTCGTTGATCGAAAGGTCACAGGTTCGATTCCGGGGAGCGGCGTGAGCTTCCGCTGTCAGCCCTAGCTTCTGCCAACCTAGCAGTTCGAAAACATGCAAATGTGAGTAGATCAATAGGTACCGCTCCGGCGGGAAGGTAACGGCGCTCCATGCAGTCATGCCAGCCACATGACCTTGGAGGTGTCTACGGACAACGCTGGCTGTTCGGCTTAGAAATGGAGATGAGCACCACACCCCAGAGTCAGACATGACTGGACTTAATGTCAGGGGACTACCTTTACCTTTACCTATGTCTCAAATGTGCCTTACTTTAACAGTTTGCAGCTTCCCAAAGGATAATGTCTGCTGTTCTGCTCTGTAACTCTTTTTTGTTTGACTCCTCTTCCCCAGAGTGTCCTCCAATCATCCCAAGATGCATGTGGGGGGCCCGGCCGTATAGAGGAACACCAGCACAGCTTACTCTGCCCTTGAACTTTGTATATGTCCACCATACTAGCAGTCCTTCAAAGCCATGCCAAACCTTCTCAGCATGTGCAGCTGACATGCGCTCCATGCAGAGGTTTCACCAAGATGTCCGTGGCTGGGATGACATTGGCTACAGGTGAGCATTCATTCATGTGTGATGAAAGGTGAGAACCTCAAAGAAGCTCCGAACATCTCTACTTGCTTGGTGCCCTTTTCAAAAGGCATATGTGTATACCACATTCAATACACAGTTAACACATTTTCAGAAGCATGTCTCAGCCCTCAGGCTTGCAGACTTGGAGCCCCCAGTGACGCAATGGGTTAAATCCTTGTGCCGGCAGGACTGAAGACCGACAGGTTGGAGGTTTGAATCTGGGGAGAGCATGGATGAGCTCCCTCTGTCAGCTCCGGCTTTCCATGCGGGGACATGAGAGAAGCCTCCCACAAAGAGGGTAAAACATCAAAAACATCCTGCCGTCCCCTGGGCAACGTCCTTGCAGATGGTCAATTCTCTCACACCAGAAGCGACTTGCAGTTTCTCAAGTCGCTCCTGACACACAAAAAAGTAATCAATCACAAAACAAATGTGCAATGGCAAACAGACATTTTTTCATCCCCTAAAGAAGCAGCACTACTCAATATGTCTAAAAGCATCACATAATTTGACCTGTACAAGAAGTACAAATGTCTCAAGGTTCCCCAGAAGGCAGCTAAAAATCATTTGCAAATTTAAAAACTGTGAAAAGTAAAATGAATAGGAGAAGGTTGTGAATAGAACAGTAGTTAGATGTTTTTCCTGCCATAGCACAACAGTCATAGCAAAACATCAGCACTAGTTTTCCCTAAGGCATTAAATCTATGTCTGGGTCATTTATACCAAGTTGCACACAGAAGCTTATAGGACAAACAAACAAACAAAAAATCAGCAACCCGTTTGTGTATTTATTTATTTATGTATTTATTTACAGTATTTATATTCTGCCCTTCTCACCCTGCAGGGGACTCAGGGCGGATTACAATTTACATATACATGGCAAACATTCAATGCCATAGACACACAACATATATAGACAGACACAGAGGCAATCCAGCTTTTTCTTGAGGGTATTCTGGCCACCAGGGGAGCTGTCCCTTCACCGACCACGCGTAGCACTGATTAAGCACTTCCTCATTCTTTGAATATTTGCTGGAGATTTTTATGGCCTCGTAAATTAGTTAAATTTGCCTCCTTGCATAAATGGTGCCTAAATTTCCTACTTGACAGATACATCTGTCTTTCGGGCTGCAAAGGTCGACAGCAAGCTACACAAAATTAGTTGGAAGCTCACTCCGACTCGGGCTGGCTTTGAACTCATGACCTTTCGGTCAGTAGTGATCTTAATGCAGCTGACACCTGGCCAGCTGTGCCACAGTCCCGTACATGAAGAAAATGGTGCAAATTCCCCAGTAATATGGACCAGGTTACAATCCTTTTTTCCTGATGAAAGCTGTAATGCTATGCCCAGTTACATGCCCACTGAAATCAGTAAATCAGTTTTCTTTGAGTTCTTTTTGGAATTTCCAACTTTGCTTCAGAGGTACAATACAATATTATCTATTCCTTATTGCCCATCATTTCTAAGAAGTATGCTTATTTTGAATATACCATAATCATCCCTCATGTTAGGAGCCCCTGGTGGCGCAGTGGGTTAAACCCCTGTGCTGGCAGGACTGAAGACTGACAGGTCGCAGGTTCGAATCCGGGGAGAGGCGGATGAGCTCCCTCTATCAGCTCCAGCTCCTCATGCGGGGACATGAGAGAAGCCTCCCATAAGGATGATAAAACATCAAATTATCCAGGCATCCCCTGGGCAACGTCCTTGCAGACGGCCAATTCTCTCACACCAGAAGCAACTTACAGTTTCTCAGGTCGCTCCTGACACGACAAAAAAATAAAAATAAATCCCTCATGTTGTAAAAGACATATTGCTACTTTCTTGGAAGGATGTTATTTGCAAGCATGAAACCCCTCTTTCGTTGTGTAAATCACATCGGCAGTAACATGGTACATCTCTCCACAGATGGAATATAGAAAGATACATTTATTTATTTATTTATTTATTTATTTATTTGCAATATTTATAGCCTGCCTTTCTCAGCCACACGGCAGCTCAAGGTGGGTTACAGATTGGCACAGTTCGTTGTCAGGTATTTATAAAAGTGCCATTAAAAAAAAATCAACATTACAATATAAAACATATAAAAGCAGTTAAAGCATATAATCATTGGTTATCCAGTAACACCGTCTGGCCATTCCATGTTCATCATTCATAGTTCTGTGTTATCTATTCTGCTGAATTCTCAAAAGCTTGCTCAAAGAGCCAGGTCTTTACTTTTTTTCGGTAAGTCAGGAGGGAGGGGGCCGATCTAATATCCCTGGGGAGGGAGTTCCATAGCCGTAGGAGGGAGTTCCATAGCTGGGGGGCCACCATTGAGGAGGCCCTGTCTTTCGTCTCTGCCAATCGCACTTGCGAGGCAGGCGGGATTGAGAGCAGGGTCTCCTCAGATGATCTTAAGCTCCTGGATGGTTCATAGGAGGAGGTATGTTAAATGTGCACTTGCTCCAAAGAAAATAAATACCACTCTTTTTCATATTATGAAGCCCAGAGTAACAAATTCTACAAGAGAGGAGATTCCATCTGAACATGAGGAAGAACTTCCTGACTGTGAGAGCCGTTCAGCAGGGGAACTCTCTGCCCAGAGTGTGGTGGAGGCTCCTTCTTTGGAAGCTTTTAAACAGAGGCTGGATGGCCATCTGTCAGGGGTGATTTGAATGCAATATTCCTGCTTCTTGGCAGGGGGTTGGACTGGATGGCCCATGAGGTCTCTTCCAACTCTTTGATTCTATGATTCTATGAAATTCCATTAGCCAGTCCCGCCATCCTAACACTTGTCTTTTCTCTCTGCACAGCTTTATTGTCGGAAGTGATGGGTACCTGTACCAAGGCAGAGGCTGGCACTGGGTAGGGGCTCACACCCTGGGCTACAACAGCAAAGGTTTTGGTGTCAGCTTCATTGGGGACTACATGAAGACCCTTCCAGTCACCTTTGCCATGGAGCTTTTGAAGAACAACTTCTTGCAGTGTGCAGTGAGAGGCTCAAGGCTGCATGCCAATTATACCATCTATGGACACCGTCAGATGGTATTAAACACCAGCTGCCCAGGAGACAGACTCTTCCAAGAGATAGAAACATGGGAAAGATTCAAGGTCAGATGCTTCATGGACAAGGACACTCACCGCTGTGTTTAAAGCACTGCACAAAGATCCCTGACACAAGAGATGGACAGGTAGATGTCTTCAATCAGCATCTTTTTGTGCCCAAGTCAAACACCAGGGGGCAGCATCTGCCATGAGTCAAGGAGGAATCAACTCGCATCCTATCTATATAAATAAAAATGTAATGTTCGTTTGTGGGATTAACAGAACTCAAAAACCACTGGGGGAATTGACACCAAATTTGGACGCAAGACACCTACCAACCCAATGAATGTCCTTCGCTAAAAAAAAAAAGATTTTGTCATTTGGGAGTTGTAGTTGCTGGTAGTTATAGTTCACCTACAATCAAAGAGGATTCAAAGCTCCACCAATGATGAAATTGGGCCAAACTTAGCACAAAGGACTCCCATGACCAACAGAAAACACCAGAAGGGTTTGGTTGGCATTGACCTTGAGTTTGGGAGTTGTAGTTCACCTACATCCAGAGAGCACTGTGGACTCAAACAATGATGGATCTGGACCAAATTTGACACGAATATTCCATATGCCCAAATATCAACACAGATGGAGTTTGGGGGAAATAGACCCTGACATTTGGGAGTTATAATTACTGGGATTTATAGTTCACCTACAATCAAAGAACATTCTGAACCCCACCAATGACAGAATTGGGCAAACTTCCTACACAGAACCTTGATGACCAGCAGAAAATACTTAAGGCCATCCAGTCCAACTCCCTTCACCAGGGCAAGAAAACATAATCAAAGCCCTCCTGACAAAGAGCCATCCAGACATAGATATAGATGATTCACGCACACACAGGTATAGTATCATATATTTGAAAGGGACCCCTAAAGAAGGACAATTATATGTTGCATGTTCCTGAGTAGGCAAACCAGACAATCTCCACATCAACACTGACAAAGAAACAAGAAGAAATACTGTTTACCCACAAGCATCAAGAAATTACAAATATTAGAAACCAACACTTTCTAATTACTTTATTTTCCAGATCACCAGACTGGGCCACAGCAACGCGTGGCGGAGGACGGCTAGTTGCTGACATAAATTTGAGAAGTCATTCAGTGTTCTACAGTGGGCCCTCCACATACACAGATTTAACTTGGTAGATTTTATCAATATGCTCTCTTTAGGAATCTTTAGTTCCTCTAGTGCAACTTCTGCTGGATGTTGACTGTATAGTTATGCTATGGCACCTAGAGAGTCAAAGAGTGGTGCTCTCTCAAGTTAAATCAAGCATTTTTTTCACTTTCATGTGAGTCCTATACCTCTAGCCCTTCAAATGCCTGCTGTACTATGATTTGCTAATTTGAGATGGGGCGTATATGGGATATTTGAGACAATCTTGGGGCAGTCATGTGCCAGAACTGAAAGGAGTGGAGAAAGGCAACCAGGTATCCTTTAGGGCAGGTATCCGAACTAAGGCCCAAGGGCTGGATACGGCCCTCCAAGGTCATTTACCCAACTCTCTCTCAGGATCAAACTAAGTCTGAAATGACTTGAAAGCACACAACAATCCTATCTCATCAGTCAAAAGCAGACCCACACTTCCCATTGAAATACTAATAAGTTTATGGGTTATTGTAGGTATATGGCCATGTTCTAGAGGCATTTTCTCCTGACGTTTCGCCTGCATTTATGGCAAGCATCCTCAGAGGTTGTGTGGTCTGTTGGAACTAGGAAAATGGGTTTATATATCTGTGGAAAGACTAGGGTGGGACAAAGGACTTTTGTCTGCTGGAGCTAGGTGTGAATGTTTCAGCTGACCACCTTGATTAGCATTTAATGGCTTGGAAGTGCCTGGGGGAATCTTTCTTTGAGAGGTGATTTGATGTGCCTGATTGTTTACTCTCTGTTGTTTTGCTGTTGTAATTTTAGAGTTTTTAAATACTGGTAGCCAGATTGTGTTCATTTTCATGGTTTCTTCCTTTCTGTTGAAATTGTCCACATGCTTGTGGATTTCAATGGCTTCTCTGTGTAGTCTGACATGGTGGTTGTGAGAGTGGTCCAGCATTTCTGTGTTCTCAAATAATATGCTGTGTCCAGGTTGGTTCATCAGGTGCTCTGCTATGGCTGACTTCTCTGGCTGAAGTAGTCTGCAGTGCCTTTCATGTTCCTTGATTCGTGTTTGGGCAATGCTGCATTTGGTGGTCCCTATGTAGACTTGTCCACAGCTGCATGGTATACGGTAGACTCCTGCAGAGGTGAGAGGATCCCTCTTGTGCTTTGCTGAATGTAGCATTTGTTGGATTTTCTTGGTGGGGAGTCTACCGTATTCCATGCAGCTGTGGACAAGCCTACATAGGGACCACCAAACGCAGCATTGCCCAAACACGAATCAAGGAACATGAAAGGCACTGCAGACACCTAATAACCCAATGTATGTCCTTCACTCAAAAAAATTTGTCATTTGGGAGTTGTAGTTGCTGGGATTTATAGTTCACCTACAATCAAAGAGCATTCTGAACCTCACCAACGATGGAATTGAACCGAACTTGGCACACAGTTCTCCCATGACCAACAGAAAATACTGGAAGGGTTTGGTGGCCAGTGTCCTTTGGTTTTGGAGTTGTAGTTCTCCTACATCCAGAGATTACTGTGCACTCAAACAATGATGGATCTGGACCAAACTCTACATGAAAACTCAATATGTCCAAATGTGAACACTGGTGGAATGTGGGGAAAATAAAATCTTGACATTTGGGAGTTGTAGTTGCTGGGATTTATAGTTCACCTACAATCACAGAGCATTCTGAACCCCACCAATGATAGAATTGGGCCAAACCTCCCACACAGAACCCCCATGTGGGCCACAGCAATGCGTGGCAGGGGACAGCTAGTATATATTATTTTATTTTCTTCTTTATTTTCTTTTTTCCCATTTTCTCCTTTTTCTCTTTCAGAAATTTTAGCTTTGTAATTTGTAAATACTCAATTAAGATTATTTATAAAAAATACTCAATTATCTTCTTCCATGTTTTTGCTGCAACAACAAGCAAAAACAATTTATCATCAAAAGTAAGGAATATGGGCTGGACTCTGGAGACTATACATCTAGCATGTCCTTCACATCTGTATCCAATTCTGATACAACTGATGGACACCAAGAAAGAACAGTTGAAGGTTTGCCCCAGCAAGGCAATGGGGTGCTTTTTTAAAATGTCAGCATCAAAGCACTTAGAGGAAACAGCACAGCTATTTTGGTAAACCACAACATTGTAAGGAAATCATGCAGCTGCGAGGTGGGGGTTGGGCGGGCACCTATATGTCTTCGAAACAGTATGAAATTGACTGTTTGCTTCATGGCCAAGAAGGAAAAGCAGCTTTGATACTGAGACAAGAAGTGTGCGGCTGGCATTGGAGTCTGTTGTCTACATCCTGTGTATTTTGTCAAATATGAAAGAAGAAGAAGAAGTTGTTTATTTTTCTACCCCGCCACCATCTCCCCGAAGGGACTCGGGGTGGCTTACATGGGGCCAAGCCAGGGAACATACAATTAAAAGCAGAGCAATAACAAAATGCAGTTTTAAAACATTTATTTATTTATTTGTTGTTGTTCATTCGTTCAGTCGTCTCCGACTCTTCGTGACCTCATGGACCAGCCTACGCCAGAGTTCCCTGTCGGCCATTACCACCCCCAGCTCCCTCAAGGTCAGTCCAGTCACTTCAAGGATGCCATCCATCCATCTTGCCCTTGGTCGGCCCCTCTTCCTTTTGCCTTCCACTTTCCCCAGCATAATTGTCTTCTCTAGGCTTTCCTGTCTCCTCATGATGGGGCCAAAGTACTTCAACTTTGTCTCTAGTATCTTTCCCTCCAGTGAGCAGTCGGGCTTTATTTCCTGGAGGATGGACTGGTTGGATCTTCTCGCAGTCCAAGGCACTCTCAGCACTTTCCTCCAACACCCCAGCTCAAAAGCATCGATCTTCCTTCGCTCAGCCTTCCCTAAGGTCCAGCTCTCACATCCGTAGGTTACTACAGGGAATACCATGGCTTTGACTAGGCGGATCTTTGTTGCCAGTCTGATGTCTCTACTCTTCACTATTTTATCGAGACTGGACATTGCTCTCCTCCCAAGAAGTAAGCGTCTTCTGATTTCCTGTCTACAGTCTGCATCTGCAGTAATCTTTGCACCTAGAAATACAAAGTCTGTCACGGTCTCCACATTTCTCCCTCTATTTTCCAGTTGTCAATCATTCTTGTTGCCATAATCTTGGTTTTTTTGATGTTTAGCTGCAACCCGGCTTTTGCGCTTTCTTCTTTCACCTTGATTAGAAGGCTCCTCAGCTCCTCCTCGCTTTCGGCCATCTGAGTGGTGTCATCTGCATATCTGAGGTTGTTAATGTTTCTTCCAGCAATTTTCACCCCAGCTTTGCATTCATCAAGCCCCGCACATCGCATGATGTGTTCTGCATACAAGTTAAAAAGGTTGGGTGAGAGTATGCAGCCTTGCCGTACGCCTTTCCCAATCTTGAACCAGTCTGTTGTTCCGTGGTCAGTTCCTACTGTTGCTACTTGGTCCTTGTACAGATTCCTCAGGAGAGAGACAAGGTGGCTTGGGATGCCCATCCCACCAAGAACTTGCCACAATTTATTATGATCCACACAGTCAAAGGCTTTAGAATAGTCAATGAAGCAGAAGTAGATGTTTTTCTGAAACTCCCTGCCTTTCTCCATTATCCAGCGGATATTGGCAATCTGGTCTCTCGTTTCCTCTACCTTTTCTAAACCCAGCTTGAACATCTGGCAACTCTCGCTCCATGTATTGCTGGAGTCTTCCTTGCAGGATCTTGAGCATTACCTTACTGGCATGAGAAATAAGGGCCACTGTACGGAAGTTTGAGCAGTCTTTCGCATTTCCCTTTTTTGGAATGGGGATATAAGTTGATTTTTTCCAGTCTGATGGCCATTCTTGTGTTTTCCATATTTGCTGGCATATGGCATGCATCACCTTGACAGCATCATCTTTTAAGATTTTAAACAGTTCAGCTGGGATCCCGTCATCTCCTGCTGCCTTTTTGTTAGCAATGCTTCTTAAGGCCCATTCAACCTCACTCCTCAGGATGTCTGGTTCTAATTCATTCACCACACCGTCAAAACTATCCTCAATATTATTATCCTTCCTATACAGATCTTCTGTATAGTCTCGCCACCTTCTCTTGATCTCTTCAGCTTCTGCTAGGTCCCTGCCATCTTTGTTTCTTATCATACCAATTTTTGCCTGAAATTTACCTCCAATGTTTCTAATTTTCTGGAAGAGGTCTCTTGTCCTTCCTATTCTGTTGTCTTCTTCCACTTCCATGCATTGCTTGTTTAAAAATAGTTCCTTATTTCTTCTGGCTAACCTCTGGAATTGCGCATTTAACTGGGCATATCTCCCCTTTCACTGTTTCCTTTTGCTTTCCTCCTTTCTTGGGCTACTTCCAGTGTCTCAGCAGACAACCATTTTGCCTTCTTGGTTTTCTTTTTCTTTGGGACGTACTTTGTTGCCGCCTCCTGAACAATGTCGCGGACTTCTGTCCATAGTTCTTCTGGGACTCTGTTTACTAAATCTAGTCCTTCAAATCTGTTCTTCACTTCCACTGTATATTCGCTAGGAATGTTAGTGAGATCATATCTAACTGGTCTGTGTATTTTCCCTGATCTCTTTAGTTTTATTCTAAATTGGGCAATAAGAAGTTCGTGATCTGAGCTACAGTCAGCCCCAGGTCTTGTTTTCACCGACTGGATGGATGCCGCCACCTTTGGCTGCAAAGGATGTAGTCAATCTGATTTCGGTGTTGACCATCTGGTGAGGTCCATGTATAAAGCCGTCTTTTAGGTTGTTGGAAGAGAGTATTCATTATACACAGCGAGTTTTCCTGGCAAAATTCTATCAGCCTGCGTCCCGCTTCATTTTGTTCATTTCTTCATTTATTTATTTACTTCATTTCTTCTTCATTTATTTATTTACTTCATTTATATACCGCTTTTCTCAGCCCTCAGGCGACTCAAAGCGGTTAACAACAGCAAAATTCAATGCAAAACATCATAAAACGATTATGGGACAGTTAAAACAATAGCATCATCAACAATTAAACATCAATATAACAATCATTAGTGTCTCATCAGTAAAATCAGAATCCAATCTCATCATCCGTTCATCCGTGTTCCTATATTCATTACACTGCTTAATCGAATGCTTGTTCGAACAGCCAGGGTCTTCACTTTCCTCCGAAACGCCAATAGGGATGGGGCCGATCTGATATCTATAGGAAGGGCATTCCACAGCCGAGGGGCCACCACTGAGAAGGCCCTGTCGCTCGTTCCCGCCAGGCGCGCCTGTGATGCAGGCGGGACTGAGAGCAGGGCCTCCCCAGATGATCTTAAATACATAAACATTATTTATTTATTTATTTATTTGCTATATTTGTATACCACTCTTCTCAGCCCTCGGGGCAACTCAGAGTGGTTAACAAAGCAAATACAATACTTAAACATGATAAAAACAGTTAAAAACAAGTTAAAAGAATAACATTATAACAATCAATAAACATCATAACATCTCATCGCGTCTCATAGTTAAAATCAAGATCCAGTCTTGTAATGTAACTATATTAGTT